AAATGTATGTCTTTAAAAAAAAGTCAAAACTTTGTATCTGTCATCAAACGAAGACGAAAAACGGGACAGTTATAAAAAGGAAAATGCTATTAACCATAGATGGACAATAATCTTTAATAATTTGTGCCCTGGAATAAAAATCAATGAAAATTATTTTCAAAGGAACGTTTCAAGGGTGTTAAACAGATATCGAATCCCTCTGCCTTTACATTTGCCTTCCAAATATCAAATCGTTCAATTCTAAGATCTTTTTTAATAGAATTTTGAATAATTTTGCTTTAAGTCACCTAATAAGAGCGCTCCTTCTTCAGAATCTAAATTTTCGAGTCAATGGATCAATGCCTAACGAGATCCAACTTTTGCTTGAACTCTCTACCGCCGATGCGGAGGAGTGCCTAAGGACATTCATTCCAATTAAAGAGGAACTAGCCAGAAATCTTGCACTCTGCAACATGAGAACTGAGGAAGAGTTTAACGTTACCATGACAATTGATGCCACGGTATTCAAGACCAGTCCATTTAAGATGGAAGACTTTCTTCATGCTGATCAATTGCTTGACCGATGTGAGAAGATACCTCGTTTCGATGTCAATGGAACAAAGCGCAAGCGTTGTGACGAGGTTGCTGAGAAGATGCAAGCACAAGAGTATGACGTCACGCAACCAAAGAAAAAGATGAAGCCAAGTGTCTCTGACAATATTCCTTTGAATAAAAGCAACTATGTAGTAAGCTTGGAACAAAACCAGGGTAAATTTTATTCCAAGGAGATTGATCCTTGTCGCAAGATAATAAATGTATTGCGTTTAGTTAAACGTAGCGACAAATACTATACCTGCGAGATTAAAAAAACTGCTCAACAGGCACAGAAACAGTCAACACGAGACCATACCAACGTTTTGTGTGTTGGACAAAACTTGGGTTGAGCCAATTTTTCAAAATTTTCATTCCAAGTTGCCTGTTTAGAGAAGGTTGAGCCAATTGAATTAAAAATGAGGCAGCAAACCTCAGAAAGCCCTTTTGAACGAGAGATTCTGTTAAATAGAAAAAAATCGTCTTGTCCTACAACCCAAATGACCTGCGATAATTTTGACCGCCGTAATTCTAATAGTGAATGCCAGGCCCGTGAACCTACCCTTACTAATATAGAGTCAGAAACTAAACCAAGAAATCTTTTCGATGTTCTACAGAGAATGAAACGGGCCTTGGTTAAAGACAGGTCGAATAAAAAGAAGCGGAAAGGCCCCGTTAGAACGCCAACATTTGTTCGCATTAGAAAACAGGTTGGCAACCTTTTTGAGATGAGGGCACGCATTATCTCGAGGAACTTGAGATCATGAGCAAATAGAGACATGCAAGTCCTTTTCTGCTCAATGTGCGTGTCATCCCTTTTTCTAGGCGTAAGAGCTTATGTCCTTCTCCTTTTGAGGGGAAGGACCTAAGGAAATAGAAAAAACGTATAACTAAATATATCTTAACTTCTCCTCAGCATCTTTTACACAAATGAGATAAGTAAATATTGCTCTATATAGAAATCGGAACGTGTGTAAATGTAAATTTTATTTGTATATAAATATATCGCGTAGATATTAAATTATAAATGAATATTTAAAATGGAATGTCCTGAATGAATGGAGTTCATAATAATTACGACTATCTTTCTTGCTGAAAATTTCTGAAAATTCACAAATGCAGTGCTTAAACTTTTGAGGGCACTACTCAGTGGCCCCTCCCCCCCCCCCGTCCCTCCTAAAAGGGGACCCTTACCGTCAAATTTCTTCATATTAACAGCTTTTTCAGATGAAATATGCATATTTCTTTGTTAGGAAGCTTATTTTAATACTGAGAAAGAATTTTTAGAAGCCAGAACTCTCCAAAATGGGAAAATGCAATTTGGAAAGAATTTAAATCTGAATTCACAAATATGAGCCAGTCACAGATTTTGTGAGCTTCTTGCGAAAAAGGGGTAGTTTAACTTTTTATGATGTTTATGTAAATATTGCAACAACTGAGAAATATTTTTTCTAAACTTAACTGTACTAAGGCCAATTCCAGATCACTAGAAGCCAAAAAGATTTAGAATTCTTACGAAACTCTCGATTGAAAACACAATCCAGAACTCAATCCAGAACTTTGCCTGTGTAAATACTCGAAAGATGAAAAGAATTTTAATATAGATTATAATCGCTACTTGTAATTTAAACATGAATAATTTACAATTGAAGAGTTTCTAAGCTGTCTTGTGGCATTTCTATGTGCTTTTTGGGTATTTTGTTTACCGCTCGAAAGCTTAATTAGACATAGATAAAATGGCCCATTGTCCCCCTACTTTGCTAAGGGGCCAAAACACGGCTCTGCTGGGCCACCTAGTCTTGTCAACTTCGTCTTGATTTATAATGACATCATCGATGTTTCATCTAAAGCATCCATCAATTGCTTATAAAAATGTGGCATGTCTAAAAAATATTTAATCACTTGATTCTATAGGTGAAAAAAGTCCTTCCCTATACACGATAACTTTTCTATTTTTTAATGTACATCGATTCTAATAATTTTTGGTAGTTTGACACCCCAAAGGACTTAAATTATTTATCCAAATACTTGTGAAAATATGACAAAATTGTGCCAAGTATAAAATGCAATTCCAAATTGACACGTCTATGACCTCGAAATTTTGTTATCCTCTTTAGCCTCTCTTTAGACCACATTCCTTTATGGATATTCAACTTGCCCTGCTCAAAATCACCACATAAATTTTACTCTAAAATAATACTGTTTCTTATAAAATTTAGGGGAATACGGAGGAAACTCCTACATGGAGAAAAATACCTTATTGTCCTCCGTATGGCATTATCGACCTTATTTATATGCTAAATGACTTAAGAATTATGTCCTATCATAAAAAACGGGAAAGAGGAAAAATGTTGCAATAAACAATACCAAAAGTGGAAACTGGCTCGTCAGCCTACTAGCTAGTGGCGTAGGCAGTTTAAGGCACCTTTGTTCGATAAGATATCGAACTAAGAAATAAATCCTGCAGAAAACTGATTTCTTATGATTTTGTTTCGAAACAACATTCCTTATCTGTGGTGGAGTACATTTGTATCTTGAAATGGTAAGAAACTGGAATTTTCAAAGATTGTTAGTCAAAGATTTCATCTAAAACTGTTTCGAAGTAGATCCCCCAGAATAAGGATCAACAGCAATTTTGTTTGTTAAACTTTTTACCGTTTGAAACAGTCTTTGCTGGATCAAAGGCCTATATGAATCAATGTGAGAGGTTTGTGATCGAGTATCTATCGTTTCGAATGATTTTGCCCTTGGATGTGGTTTTGTGGTTTTTCGGCAAAATGACATTAAAGCCTGAGCAATTTCAGGTTTTTATGTGCCAGGAGTTTGTAAAGATCTGTAAAGTATTTTATAATTTGTTTTTATTTTATATTTTGTGCTCCTGTCGTTTCTATGAATTGAATGGGCTTTTTGGTGCAATTATTTACGATTTCAAACTATTCGTCGTTTGATCTTACAACTAAATTTTTTTGTCAAAGAGAGCAAGGGACAGCAATGTTGGTAATCCTTGTGGCTTTATTGTTGCTCATTTCAAATTTCAATGGGTGTAAATTGCTTTTTCTTTTAAATTTAGGGCAAATGATTGCAATCTTTACTTTTGTCAGTTTTTGGAAGAAAATTAATTTAATTCCCATTTCCTGTTTGGGGTTGGGGTGCAGATTGACAACGATAGGGGGTGACTTAGAAGTAATATTTTCTTTAAAGCAGCCCTTTCCCGTACATGGTTGAAAGGGAGGCTTCCTCTTGTGACGACACAAACGACACCTGCGGGTCACATAATCTCTCTCCATTTCTTTCTTTTCCTTGCAATTGGGGGGTGCTTAGGGGTTTAGCGATGAGTGGTGTGTTCAAGGTATTTCCAATAACCGAAGAAGCTTAAAAAATGTTTGAAGAAAAAACGGTTGAAATGTTGGTGTGGTTTTCATTTCTTTGGTGTGTTGAACTAGTTTTTTCATGAGGCGCTCTGGTACCTAGGGTAGAATCCACCAAGAAAACCTTTTCCAAAAATGTATGGATATTTAATGGGCCTATTTTGAACAAGCATACTATACTTGTATGCAAAATCTTCCTTATCATCATCATCATCATCATCATCATTACATTTAACAACCCTTACTAGTCATACAAATTCCTGTCCAGAATTTTGGGTCAATTACAACGTTAAGATTACAACGACATAGATTGTTAAAGGAATCCGAATTCGTCTGCGTCAGAATATTGTCCGCCAGGCTGTTTCATAGCGGAACGATTGTATAAATAACTATTTACTTTTAGCTCTAGCTATTGCTTTAGCAATTCTACTGCCAAAAACCTTTCTTTATAGCCTCGTTAATATCTTTCTTCAAATAAAGATCCTGGTCTTTCTGCCAAGATACATGGTATCATTTACAATATTAAGTTTATTCTTTATAATCCAAATGGCTGGGCTGAGACTTGCGCTTTTGATAGTTAGGGATTACCTTCCCTTTGTAGCTGAGCCGCAAAAATGCAATTGCTTCCGTTTAGGACAATTCGAGATATGTTTCAAGTCCATTCCCCTGTATCCAGGGATCGAAGTTTCAAAGATCCTTTTTTACAGCCTAGAAGAGCCAAGGTTTTAGCGTGCGCGGAAAGACTTGTATCATCAGTTTAGGATACATTGCAAGAGGACTATTTCAAACAGCTTGTGGTAAATAAATAATTTAAAAAGCACCACGTGGAGATTACGGTGCACTCTTGGCTTCCTCTTTGCGTACGCTTTTGGTAAAGGTTTTTATAATTTTCGCTATAGTATACTTTAATATAAGTGTTCTCTACTCAGTCGTTAGCTGCTTCAATTCTGTTTCCATGACCTTGTCAATGCGTCTACTCAACATCCTAGCTTCGCTTATCACTACAGAGTTTTCCAAAAGAAACAAAACATGAGTTCAGTTGTATTTTGCACCAAGCAAAAAGACATTTTCTTTGATTGAAATGATTATGGCGTGAAAAGATGCAATAAATATGAATTTGTCTTATCGAAAATAGTTCGATAGTCTCATTAAAGTACAGGGCTGTGCCACAGAGGGCTTTCCTAGTTTTCGCTAACTAAAATAATGAAAAACAGCCTAAATTATTCATTTTGAGAAAACTTTAGATTACACAAAATACATTGAACAACAGTACACAAGTAAAACAGCGTCAAGAAAAGGTTTGCCACAAAAGGGGCTATGGGGGTAGAAGAAAACTTTCTTACATTGCTGGCCCCTGCACTAGTCAAATAAAATACCCCAAGAGAAAACGAAAAGGGGGAGGAGATGGGTTGAAACCGGTAGAGTCTTTAGCGCTGTTACATTGGGGCGGGCCCCCAAGGTGTCTGTAGTCAAACAGTTCTTCTAGTTGCCCCGTTTTGGCAATAAACTGTTCCCGTAACCCAATAAAAAATTGCAACCCTTCTCTAGGGTAAATTAAGCAGAGTATTGAACATCAATCAAAATATGGTAACTTTTCTCAACATTTAATGAAAATATAATTTCATTAATTTCATTAATTTTAATTTCAACATTTCATTCAGGTAATTTCAACAATTGGAAAATAACATTAATCGAAACATTATAAACAAACAATTCAAAAATGCAAATAGAAACGAAAAAGTTCTAAATTTCCATAAAAAAATTGTCAATCGAACAACCGTAAAAGTTGAATGTAGTTCCATTTGAGGAGTAGAACTTCATCGTATGTTCTTTTTTCTTCGGCAGGAACTTTAAAAGAATTGTCATCCCTGGTCTGTCGTTGAAAACAAACATTAAACTGATTGCAATTTATGCTTTATCTAAAACGCTATTATAAATATTCTAATATTAAAAATATTCTGAACGAATAAACAAATGAAACTATAAATTCAAATATAAATTGGAGATTGAAATCATAAATCGTTATATTGAAGCCTTGTACGAGACAAGATGCATAGGAAATATGTCGTTCCTTAGATTTATTTATTTTTACGGTCTTCAAAAAGGTTCCGAAAGTCGTTAGGGCGGAAAATCTTCTTCTTTCACAATTTAAATGAGATCAATTTCTTTAAAAATTCTAACAATGAAAGTTTTATATTGTTTCAAAAAATGAAAAATTGTGATTGATCATGTCCTGTATATTCCAATGTACATGATAAGATGATGTGTACTTTTGCTTAGCTAAACACGTAAAGATGGAATTTTTCTATAGAGGGTACATCTGTATTGTGATTATACCAGGGACACGAATATGGGCGTCTTATTGGTTACCTAAACCCTGCAAGGATGGTATCCCAAGGAGACCAGTATTGTCATCTTTATACCTTGATCTTACAACTAAAGCAAAGGAAAGTTACCCATATTCAAAAGACACAACTTTTTTCAACAAATAATTGATAAAGAGACTAGCATTCCACAGAAATCGTCGTTTCAAGTACTCAAATGGGCGTGGCAACTAAAACACTTCAGGGAAAGCTCCCTAATCTTCTGTCCAGCTTAAATCTAGATTACCGAAGTGTGATGTCATCAGACGTTTCTAGAATTTCTTAATTATGACGACTTAATCCGAAAGAAGCAACCCGCAAGAAAATACCTCTAAGTATGCATAATCAGTTAAAAATACTAGTAACCGGATTTAGCCAATGAAAAACTTCAATTTGCTAACGGATTACTGTTATTGTGGCCTGGTTAATAAAGTTATTAACCAAGACCAAATTACAGAGGTTTGATAGGGAAAGAGCTTGTGCTCAAATGGCCATATCTCAGCCAAGTCTTAATACTTTTACCCGATTATACATGTTTTGAGGCATTTCATAATGCTCTTTTGGGATTAATGACCACATTAAAAATTTCTTAAAACTATATTATTGTGACGTCAACACATCGGAATTATATTTCGAGCTGATACCGCCCCTGATAAGAGCAGATCTGAAAAAGGTGCAATTGGAGTGTTGACAGTAGGAATGAATCATTATAAATACCTTATTTCTGAAAGTTTCTTCTTATTCTCGTTCAGCATGACAAATCTGCTTTTCTTTTTAATGTTGAACGAGTGGCATATATCGCGCTTCAGGGCGCCAATTCTTTTTGTGAATGTCAACTCCTGAAAAGTAGGTAAACAATGTCATATGTCAGGTAGAGGCTGAAGGAAATGTCCAAAGAGTTTTGTGAATGCATTGCTATGAAGTGGAAAAAACATCACTTTTTCTCAATCCGAAAATGAACAACTAAATTGAAAACATTTGTCACATTTTTGGCACAATATACTAACACGCTTCCCTGCAAAGTCTTTGGTTGCGCAAGAATGAAACATACATCGCATTTATTAGTAATTTTATTTAAAAAGATAGATAAAGCTTGATGTTGGGTGTACAGAGAGATGTTTTGAAAAAGAAAGCTGGTTTTTGTTAACTTATATCAATAATTAGAAGATTTCAAAAAATACCTGGACGTTTTTTCCAACTTGGACCTTGACAATTTGTTCTTCGGCTTCCTCTTTTTTAATTTCACATTTATCTGAAAATTTATGTTACCACGCTATTATAAATAGTAATACACGCTTTGCATGCAAAAATTTCATTTCATAAGAATGACCGACATTTTCCATAGGAAGAAAAAAACACAGGGCTTATGCCCTTTCTAGAAATACTTTCACCAAAACAGCAAAGAAAAAGTAAGGAAAACGGAAGTACTAAAAGAAGAAAAAGGAGAAAGAGTCGAGGTAGAAGGAGAAGTTGAAGTGGAGAAGAAAGAAGGACCGCGGTCGCTAACAGAAAAAGACAAATATGAAATGTTTATTATTTTTCAAACTGAAGCCATCGACATATGTCACTCGTTGCAGCGTTGTTGTGTATATGGAAGCATCAAGATTAAAGAATGATATAGACATGGTTTCGCATCGCTACAGAAGGAATCCCTTAATAATGAATAAGGGGATCTACAATCCTGGACAAAATTGCTGAGATAAAATATAAATATTGCAAGTTTTGTTTTACATTGCCCATGTAAATTCAAATCCCCTCTCTCTTTATACACAATTAATGTTGGATTTGTAGTACAATTGTTCCCCCTTCAAAATGCATTCTTTCATGCATTCAACATTGAATTCAGAGAGAGGAAAAGCTATTATTCAAATGAAAGAGAAAATATGAAATTTCTTTTAAGAGTCCTAATTAGTTTTGACCAGGATTGTAGATGGTTGGGTTTGGATTGAGTGTGGATCGGCGAGGTTAAAGAAGTGAATGATCGAATGGACTTACTAGCTTGATTTAAAAATGGTTTCTAAAAAATCAAAGAAAATCTTTTTGAATAACTTTTCCAAAATAACACAGCAACTGTAATAAGCATTTCAATCTTTTTTTATGCTTATTATGAACTGTGGTTGATTTCGCGTTAAACTTGTTCTAAAACTTTTCATTTCATTTCAAATCATTTCAAACGTTATATCAAATTCAAGCCAAACGTTTGTAGAGGGGTGGAGCTAAGAAAAATGTTTTGAGAGTGAAGAGGTGATTTTTGCCAACAAAACGGCGTGTTTCCATCGCTAAGGGTGTGTTCAAAAGAGAAATACTCTTGCATGCTGCAATCATTCGTTTCTGTTTCAAATCTTGTACTCTAGTGCCATACTTTGAAAGTTCAACTACACGAAAATGTTTATATGTTACATATGTTGCAAAAAGGTTACAGAGTGAGTGCAAGAATTCCATCTTTGCCCGACAAAGACCCTTGATATGCCGACGAACAATATGTTGGGGGCTACCGCGCCAATGCAAATGGCAATCAAGCATGTTAGCAATTTCACTTTCAGCCAGAATAGAAAAATTGCTCACGATTTTACCATGGTGCACGAGAAAAATTTGGTTAAGTAAAATGGCACGAGTGACACTTAAGTTCTGGCAAACACACTCTGGCAAGATTCGGTTCAATGCTTTTAAGAACATTTTCTTGATTTTGTTGAAAACCTTTTATCTTTAGACTTTGAAAACGTGGGAAAATTTGTCTCATTAGTTTACCCAAAAATTAAAAATTGCAATCAACGAGACCTTTGAGAAATGTTACCTTTGTACAATTGCCAACCACTCTAAAGTCCACCTTTTCACTGAAGTAATTCAAATTTTTAACGAAAAATGCCTGTAAATTTCCTTTGCTGCATTGTTGACTTTAAATGTATTCTTTCAAATAATATTTAACTATACTGCAGTGCTCTAATTGTATTTTAAACCAAATGTGCAAAACCCAAACTTTTTAGGCCCCTAAAAGTGGACTTCCCGGAATGTAATATAGTTCTAGTCCGCCCCTGTAGAAAAGAGAAAAAGGAGCTAGAGCATAGATTGAAAAATGGAGGTAAGGAGGTTAATTAAGAATAATAGGAAGAAGAAGATTGAAAAGAAGTTCTTCTTTTCTAAAAGAAAATGGAAGAGAAAGAGAAAGGAAGAGGACTGGCAAGAATAAAACAAAGAAGACGAGAAGAACGATGTTTAGTTAAAACGAAAAGGATTAGATGTCTTGTCCAAAAAGATTTTCTCTTTAGCCTGATCAACATTGAAATTCTCTTGATTCTTCGAGAAACTTTTGAAAGATCTAGAAGTTAACATGAAAATAAGGCGATAAATTTCGAATCATTAATCTCTTTTAAAGAGGGGTTCATACCGGCATTCTGTGCATAGTTGTTAATTGGGAAAATCTCTTTCCTCTCTTGTTGGCCAACGTTGAATGCCTGAAATTCAATGGAAAAATGTGAACCTTCCAAATTGGTTTATATAAAATATATTTGTCAAAGTGGGAACCTTAATTAGGAAAGTGTGAGGAGCTGCAATGCTGTAAATGAATCCCGCACCCCCCACCCCCCCGCTAGCGACGACCCTGGCAAAAAATTCATCGAACTTTCACAAGATAGCTCCATGAAAACCTTAAGACAAATGAGATATTTCGTTCATCGAATTAGATATTAACCTATGATTGCCAGTTAATAGTGTAATTTACTTTTTGCATATTTCATATCTTATCAGCTCTTTTATAGTGGTAAATAAAGAAGTCATTAACAATACTGGTAAAAGAGCGTTGATATCGAGACTCACAAACCTAAATATAACGTATTGAAGAGTTGGTCTCGGTTGTATGAGATTTTCATATCTTTGATTTTTGTTGATTATTAATTACAATCTTTTATAAATAACATAAACATGAAATAATACCAGGACGTTCTCTTCGTCATTGACAAATTGTTCTTCGGTTTCCTCTTTTTTTATTTCACAATTATCTAAAAATATATGTTAAAAAATGCTATTAAATATGGTAATACACGTTTATTGCATGCAGAAATTCAATTTAATCAGAATGGTCGATGTTTGCCTTAGCAGAAAAGAACATCGGGCTTATGGCCTTTCTAGAAATTGCTTCAACCAAAACAGCAAAGGAAGATGCTAAGAAAACGGGAATTGTAAAAGAAGAATAAAGGGAAGAAGGGCTCCAGGTAGAAGAAAAAGATAGATTTTAAGAGGGGGAGAAAGAAGAATCACGTTTGCTAACAGAAAAAGACAAACATGAAATTTATGCTATTTTACAAAATGTGACCATCAACATAGAGACGGGATATTAAGAAATTCAGGACAATTTTGGCCACATTTTCACTAGAGTAGTTCACGTTTATAGCGATAAAATGGCTGTGAATTTCCTTTATTGCTTTCCTTCAATTATTATCTTACTATATAGCAGTACCCTAATTGTGTGCTTAATGCAAACACTTTAGGCCCCTAAAGGTCAACTCACTGATAAGAAATATCATTCCAGTCTTTCCCTCAAGAAAAATGAAGGAAACAAACGAAAAACGACGATGAGATAGAAAAAAGAGAGAGACTTGAGAAGAGGGGTAAAATAAAAAGAAGATAAAAAGAAGAAAGAAAAGAAGAATAGGAGGATTGACAAGAATAAAAAAAATGAAACGAGAAAAGTGATAATCAATTAAAAACAGAAAGGGTTGCAGGATAAAAAATGTTTTGAGGAGATTGGATGTTTTCTTTCATAAAATTTCTTCGTAGTCTCATCATTAAAGAAACTTTCTTGGTTCCTATAGAAACATTCTAAAGATCTAGAAATTAACGTAGAATTTTGAATCATACCGAAATTCTGTGCAAAGTGGCCAATTGAGAGCAGCTCTTTTCTTTCGTCTTGGCCAACGTTGAATGCCTGAAAAACAATTACAAACATTTTAACCCTTCAATTACAAAAATATAAACAATATAATTGTCCAAGTGGAAACCTTAATTAAAGAAATGTGAGGAGCTGCAATGCTGGGAATGAAGGTAAAGGAAAAAATTATAATTTAAAAATATATTCAACACAATCAGTGAAGATATTTTTTGCTCCCTCCACTATGAATTAAAATAGAAACTTGTACTTCACATCTCTGCTTCATTCATGTAGGCCAGATTGTCTCTCCTTTACTTTGCTATACCATTCATGAATATGTAAGAAGAAAGAAACGCAGCATATGCTGTCTGCCGTGTCTGCGAGTCGTGCAATGAGTATGAATAACAGTCAGGAATGAAGCAGTACGACGAGGAGAATGTAATAAGATGGAATTATAAGATAAATTGAATTTGATAAATGCCTGTGTTGAGTTATAAAAGAGAAAATGCCTAAAGATATACTGACAAAAAATACATCCAGCCTACACAAAATCACAAATTGGATCAAAGAGAGCCATAAGCTTATTCAGAACAGAACAGTGGCCTGGTCAGTGGCGGTAATTAATGGGGCATGGGGGCTCAACACCCCCTCCCATTCAAACGATTTCAAACGATTCTTTGATATTTGACAAAACGTTTAATGTGCCGAAAATCCATCCAAGGTGCTTTCTTGTCGGAAAATCTTGGAACTAAGCCCCCCTCCCTCCCCGAAAAAGCATGCCTGAATTTCCGCCACTGTTCTGGATAATCCTATCGAACTCGGAGTAGTAACTTAATGCTGTCCTGAAAACAGTAAAGGTTTACTTTGGTATATGTGAGGAAATCATTACTTCATGAAGTCTAAAGGGGAGGGGGGCTCATAAAGTAACAAATTTTATTTTAAGAATGAAATCAATCAAAAGTTAGAAAAGTTTGTCTAAAAAATAATAAAACATTTTAAACGATTACAAGAAATGACTGCAAGTGATATTCAAAAATCAATTTCCAGTCCATCTAATGGGCGCTGCAACCAGAATTTTCTGCTCGTGAATAATTGTGACCTTCAAAAATATTTTCCAACAAGGAAGACATAAAATGAGTCGAAAATGGACACAAGAAAACAATATAGAAACATAAAGACTTTAAACTTTAAAAATTGATTCATTGTTTTTCAACTGGGTAGAAGAAACACGTTCTCTAAAAAGTGATTAAACCAAGTCGTCAAACTATGTTTTTTAACGATGCCCCAGTCATTAAAATCCAAGAGCAAAAACACCTTGGAATCACAGTATACTCAAATTATCCTTCACTAGTCATATTGAAGCAGTTATTTTGAAATCCAGGCAAGGAATAGGAGTGTTGAGGTATTTCTCAAAAAACCTACCACGACACACCCTCGATGAAATGTACCAACTCTATGTTCGACCGCATCTAGACTGTGGTGATGTCATATATCACATCCCACAAACAATTTGTGAATATGGTGATAGTGTTGTCTTAACAAAACAAATGGAAAAACTAGAATCCGTCTAACACTCAGCTGCATTGGCAGTAACCGGCACTAGGAAAGATACTTCCCGTGAAAAATTACATAACGAGATTGGTTGGGAATCACTAAACCTCCGACGCTGGAGTAGATGCCTTATCCTCTTCTATAAAATAGTTACAATTTGACCCCAGATTACACAAGGCGCCCAATTCCACACCTTCATGAGTCCAACTATAATTTTCGCAGTAATGCTACAATAGGGCAAATAGAAGCAAGAACACAAGCTTTCAAATCGAATTTTTATCCTGACTGCTTATTCGAATGGGAAAGGCTTGACCCGGAGATCAGAGTATCCAGATCTGTAAGCATTTTCAAGGAAAAAACTATTGTCAATTATTCGTTCATCACCAAAGCCTGTTTATCGTATTCATGACCAGAAAGGTTTATCTATATTAACGTGTTGGGTTAAATAAGATGAACTTTCATAAATTTAGGAATAATTTCAGAGATACGTTGAACCCCTTGTGTGCAATTAATGACGGTATTGAGGACACGGAACATTATTTCTTGACCTTCCATACTTATCCAGCAGATAGACGGGATTTTCTCAGCAGTATAAATGCGATATTTTTGCTTCATTGTTTAATAAGCCTCTCAAATACAGAGTTGTTGCATGTCATCCTGTACGGCCTTGAAAATTACCTCCTGAATCTAATGCAAAAATTCTGAAAGCAACACTAGCTTTTATCCATTCCTCCGTTTTAAATAGGAAACAAAAATTTATAATTTTTTTTCTCGTAATTTCTCGTAACTTGTAATTCCTTTTTATTTTATTTTGCTCCTTGGATCAGCCAAACATTTAAAGTTCCCTTCCCAAAACTCCTCATTTTATCAAGATGTGCAATGATGAATTTATTATGCACCTGTTTTATGAACGTAATTCGTTCCTTATTTCGCTGATGATTTCAGTTTAAGGTTAATTCAAAGCGATAATCAAATAATTACTTCTAATATGAAAACTGCCGAGAAAGTAATATTACGGTTAAAATCAGTTTTAAATTTACACCAATAAAATTATTTTGTTTTGTGTATTTATAACCTACACTAGGTGAGAAAGTCACGGAAAGGGTACTCCCATTAAGGTCTGAAAGGGGGGGCAACCGCCACCGCCTACAAAATGGCTGCACCACCGCGATCTTCTCAAAGCAAGCCGAAATTCAAACAGCTAAACAAATTAAATAAAATTCTTAAGATGGCCGTTATGGTGGGAAATTTATCAAGATACATTAATGAAAATGAAAATATGTTATTTGTTTTTCTTATTTGTATGCTTCCATCGTGAGTTGGGTGACCGCAAAGTTCAAGACCAGCAATTATCATATTGGATCTCAGACATCTTATTAATGTGATCTTGCAAGTGTAGAATAATAATTTAACCTGTAACCTGCTGTTTTCAAAAGTAACCTGTTGCAAAAGATTCTGACTGTATTTAGCAAGTCTTACATGGGTTTCAAAGCTTCGAGACTGTCCAATTAAAAATTCAATGTTTTGATGTTTTGAAAAGATATCTCTCTCAAAGTTAAAATGAAATGCGTTGCCAATGGCTTGAAGTTTTGTGTAATTGAGTTTTAATCATGGAATAACGATTTCATAAAATGGTTTCATAAAAGTCGTTTGAATTTTGAATGGCATGTTGTTCACACAACAGACGCCATTATTCATTCGTCGAAGTGGCGCAATACTTTAGCTCGAAAAACGTAAATACGTTTTCATGTTAAAAACCTATTGACTATTAAAAGCAAAGATTTGTCATAAATTGTGTAATTTCTGTAGAATTATTTTTCTTAAAATATAGAAATTGTCATAAGTTTTTTAAATACAAAATTGAGTCAGAAATATATGGAAACGGCCTAAAGGGCCTGGAAACGAAAGTTAATGGCGGGAAAATGAATTCGCCATTTTACGGAAATTTGGTTGGAAAGAAATGAAATGATTATTTTGCTGTTTTTAGGGAAGAAAATTCAAAGAAACTATGTTGTACTGTTTGAGAACAATCCTGTAAAAGATTGTCTGAGTATTCAGAAAATATAACAATATAATATCGTAATTTTGAAGAAAAATGTAAATTAATTTGTTTTCATTCAAAGCTAATTATAACTGCATCCAACCGGCTTCGCTTTTTTAATAATAGAATTGCTACTGAAAAGATAAATTTAGAAGTAATTTTTGCTTTTTAAAGTATTGTCTATATCATATCGATTTTTTAAGAATCCTTTACTTTTCTTTAAAACCTTTTCAAAACACCGGTTCAAAGTTTTCCTAAATTTTTTCCGCAAAACCGTAAAAAATCTTTCTTTTCATTCAAGAGCCATTGTAATTGTGTAGGGTCACCAAAACCATTTAGTCCTAAACATTTAATTAAGAGACTTGTAGGATTAGGCTCTTGGCTTCGATGGGCCGCCATTTCAGACATCGTACTTTTGCAAGCCCCGTGTATAATGTTACAAGTTGTGTTTACCGCCTTAATTTGCTCCATTGTTTCATTCCTATCTTCTCTAACCACATTTTAACTTTATACTTAATATTTATCAAGTTACAAATAACTCTATATCTGCAGGAAACTTTATAAGCAGAAAAATAAACCTGAAATACGAGAATTTAATATTTTGACGTCACTTACCGCTCTTTCGACGTCGGAATTCGAAAGCATGGCCGAGTCTCTTCTGTCAGTTTCCATTTCAAATTTCTTAATTTTTCCAACAGCAAATACGTCTTCCACTTCACAGCAAAATGGAGCTTACTCTGCAAAGGATCCTAAAGCTTTTTCAACAAGAACAATTTGCGTGTTATGAATTTGTTGAAAAGTAACAACAAAATTGGTAACAGTTCACTTCGTTGAATTGACGTTACAGCTGTCGTCATCGTTGCTAGGAAACAACGGCAATAATGCAATGCGGTGCTTAATTCAAATAACATTTTACCTTTGATTGAAACAGTGTTTTCCAAGTCAACCGTGGAGCAATGGCGACGCCAAGGGGTGGTGTGGGAAGGGTAATTACCCTTGTCATTTTTCCTGAAAGCATGTTCCACATATTCCTTCTAAAAACAAATTAAAATGCGTTGTGTAGGTGTAGACCTAGGGAAAGTTAAATAACGATAAATGTAAATAAATTGTACCAAAAAAAATTTTTTTATATTTTTTCTAAGGAAAGTAAGCCTAGTACAATGCACTGAAACGAGGCAAAAGAGGCGTGGTCTTAATGGCCCTTGCCAGCGGTGGTGGGGGGGGAGGGGGGGTGGTAATTACCCTCCCACTCTGTAATAGCTGGCGCCGCCACTGCTGTAGAGTAGAGGTGACAAACACTCTATGTCCTTTCCAGGCGAAGTGTAAGGTTGAGTTATTTTAAGTGTGTATGTGGCATCTTCCGTGAAGTTATTACACCTAAGCAGTATATAAAATCTGTCTTAAGTTCTATATGGGTAAAAAGAGACCCCAAAAAACCGTTCCTCTTCCACTTCTATGAAAACTACGTAAAAACTCATTCAAAAAATTAGAGCCAAGAGTGGCAAACAGCCGGTATTCTCGTGCTGCAGGGTAGGCATTGCCATCTTGTGCCAACCCCTGTTCCAAGTAAATCTATTGCAAACTGAAAACATGTCACTTTCCGCAAAATACAGCTTGGTACTCAAGCACGAGCAAATGTGATTTTGATGATATTTTCAGGTTTAAGCAAGTCATGTTTTACAGAACCGCTCTTGGAAGTTCTTGACTAAACTTTAGCAAATCTTACAAAAGTTTGAACGCTTCGAGGAAAGTTTTGATTTCTATAAAGTAACTCTTTTAAGTCTTACATTTAAATGTTGCCAATGGTTATCAGGTTTTATTTGCTTAGTTCTTATCTATAAACTCACAGAAAGTGGCTTAATAGATGGAATTTGAGTATCGATGGCCTTGTTTTAGTGGTGGCTTGGCCCGCCGGGTAGGCCCGTTGCCTGCCATTGTGCTCAAGGGGCTTCAAAGTCCAATTTTCCGACAATGTTGGTGAGCAAAACTCACTTTTCATGCTCTGCACCCCTAGATAAAGAAGTCCTCGTTGCAAAATATATTTTTCAAGGGGGGTGCCAAACCAAATACGCTTCCTGAAGAAAATCCCAAGTATCCTGTGCATGCACAGATCGAAATGAATGGCTGGCAGTTGCGTAACACACGGTGTGCACCTTTGATCGCAAAACTAAGGGACCCTAAGCATTTTGGTCCTGAAGGAGCCCCCAAGAAGTTTTTAGAAAAAGATTTTTTTGGATGAAAACATGTTTCTTGGTACGATTAACAGCAGCTTTGAAATGAGCGCAAGACTGAATACGATTTGTGAGCAACCACATAATTATGAAGCAAGATATAGCATGTCAATCACACTTTCCTCTAATGCACATCTATGTCGTTATAAAATTTTATATTTAATTTACAAGGAAATCGGAGATATCTAAAATCTCAATGATTTTCTCAATGAAGCAGTTTGAAAATCTTTATTTTTCAAGTTTAGAAATGTTTTCAAATGCATCGATCAATATTTTTGCTTTCATTTCATAATGTCTTTGGGAAATTGAAGCTGCTACATCAAACACACTGGAAATTCCAGTTACAATTATGAAAGTTGAAGTTGCTGGAAGTTTCACTGTTTTTTGAAAAAGCAAAGACCACGATCTTCCAAGCTCAAGTCTCCCTCCGCAGGAAGAATAGGACAAAGAAAGAGTCACCAGGCCTATATTTTACGAATCTTCTGAAACTCCTGAAAAGAGCAACGAGTCAAGCTATAGCTCGAGTGAAATTATGCAAGGTTGACATTTTAAGGTCTTATCTAACTGATTGTGATCATCTTTGTGAAGATGTGCTTGATGCGAGCATAGCTCAGTTGTTAGAGGCGCTGTCTACAGGCCCAGGGGTTCGTGTTCGTGTCCCTGGCATGACCAAACTTTCACCCAGAGTGAAGAGAGTCGCCAGCTCTCTGTAGTTCCAGGGAAAGGAATCATGAGGTGTGGTCACATCGAGAGAAAGGACCAGGACACTGCTCGATAATAAGCATAAGCTTCTCAGTGTCCCAAAAACTACCTTCGGATGCTAGGTAGAAACAAATACAAATACAAATACAAAAAACAAATACAGATGCTGATCTTAAGAGTTCGGTTGGGCAGCAAAGGCCGTGTTGAACAGGTGGTTCACTCGAATTGAGTGCATAAAGGTTAGTTAGCTCCACAAAAGTTAGTTGTAGATATTATAGTAAAGAGATTAAAAACATTTCAGTTCCAAGGTCCTTGTAGTTTTTCAGGAAAACCCCAAAGACAAGGATTTAGGTTCTAAATCTTGGCTCAAATTTAGATAAGCAGAGGGGCCCCAAAATACTTCTTTTAGTAAGGGCCCCACATTTCTTTATTACGTCATTGATGTCTGAATGGCATATCCTTTTCTCGCAGCTTTTTCTTTTGCGAGTAGCCTCAGAAAACATCTGGGGGCCCTGTATTCAGGGATGGATTTAGCAGGGGGGTGTAGGCGTGCAACGCACCAAGGATTTCTGTTACTTCGGTTAATTTGCTTCCATTCGGTGAGCATCATTCTTTTGCAGTCAGTAGTAACACAAAAGCGCCAAGATTTTACCTTATTCAGCTTCTTATTTTCTTTATCTTTAAGTTGAAATCCGAATTTTGTAAAGGGACGTTTCCACCATCTTCCAGTGACCTAAAGGGTGTGGCACCAAAATAGAATTAGTATCTAACACCAAGCCCCCCCCCCACCCTAAGCCTTATCGCTTAAATCTGTTCCTACTTGAATTGATATCTGTAGCACATTATTTGATGAGGAGACAAAATTAGAGATTTTTTGAAGTTCCACTGGCTTTCAAAACCAAAGTTTGGCTGTGCTAGAAATTATTGATTGGTATGCAGCACGAGAGTTTTAGCGACCGGATTCCTCGACTTGATATCTGAAGAATTTAAAGCGATAAGACCGGACGAAAATGAAGTTAGAGAAGAGACTCCCGTCACTAATTAATTAAGAGATATTCAAGAGACCGAACAACTCTGTTCGAAATAGTAAAAGCTTGGTCTAACAAGATGGAATGGGACAGAGTTAACAACAGTGATATATTGACGCCAACTCAAAAAATTAAGCGCTGCAGTACAGTTAGCGAGTGTTTAGGGTAAAGTAGGGGTTCCTGAAGGTGGGGCATAACTCAATATAAAAAACCGGGGAACGTTATTAATGAAGGGCTGTGGGATTGGTTTCTTAACGGTATCCCAAGGCAAAATTTGAAATTCTCAAAGGGAAATTTCTCTAACTCTGGGGCCAAAACATGGAATGAGATTCCAAGAAACATCAGAATGAGCCCCACAATTTCCATGTTTAAAAGAAACTTGAAGGGATTCCTACAAAGTTAATAGATCTTCCAAAACAAAACACGATCCCTAGGTAGAACAGCAACATCTACCCTGGGTAACAGACTCACTATATAAGAAATAAAATAGAGAGTCTGGTGTAGTGCGCCCCATTCTCGTTCTGGTGTGCTGATATTAACCAATCAGGAGCGAGTGTACAGATTTCTGTACTTTCAAAGGTCACAGCGAAACAATAAACTTAGCTCTGGTGTAAAACATTGAACAAAACACAATATAAATATATGCTAGCGACCGTAACGATTGAGTTTGAAGATGCTGTAAAAACTGTACTCGAAGAATATTTTCCGCATGTTGTGGACAGAGAACAGCATTGAAAGCCTTGTTTGTAGAGAGGAGACACCTTCGCCATATTGCCAACTGGCTTTGGAAAGTCTCTGATATTTCAGGCTGTGCCTCTCCTTGCAAAGAAATTAGGCCTTGTAGTGAAATGCAGTAGATAAAAAACACCGCAAGGCGCCGAGAACAAACAACAACAAACACAGTAAATCAGTCATAGCTAATATTTCGCCCGGCATACGGGGCTTCGCTTGTCGTATTGGCCATATTTGCTGTGGTGACCTTCCAACGTGATGATTCTACCAGTGTGACCAGATCTAGCATATTATAATGCTTTCAGCATAATATTGACCAAAAATCGTCATTTAGCATAAAATCTAGCATAATTTAGAATCTAGCATAACTTTGGCATAATTTTGATAGTTTTTAAAAAATCATTGTTTCCACTGATCTGTTGTCTATCACCACTAAATGGAAACACAAGAATGTGTGACTTTCCACTTTCAATGTTCAGCCAGTTGTTTGGAACGGTTGGCAGCCAAATATTTTATGGTTGGCAGCCAAATTCAGCCAGCTAAATTCAGTACACAAAAAAGCTAAATTTTTGACAATTGCGGGGAGTGATAGTGTAATCAAAATTTGCTTTGTAGGTTACAAAGCTTTTATTTACTATTATCTTACATTGTCTGTTATCTTTTACGTTGTTTCATGTTTCTTTATTTGCAATTTTGAAATCATTCCAAAACAAATTTGAATATCATCTATGTAAAAAATTTATTTTCCTTTGCATTTTTCGTGATTTTTTGCAACATGCTGCCAGAATTCTGCCAACTTTTGCTTCTTCGGCCAAATCAATTTATGACGGCCAAGGGGTTGAGAAATTTGGATTTCAAAACCATTGATCTAAATTGCTTTTTTGTGTAGAAAAGACGGCAATTTTAAGTACACTGTGTTTCAGATTGGGGGTCAAAAAGGCCAAATGGAAACTTTGTCACTTTTGATATTCTGAGCATCCTCCAGCCTCTTTTTCAAGCAGGTGTGCCTTGATTTGAAATTTGGCATAATTTTTGCAAAGCTAGCATTATATTTTGACAAATTTGGCATGATTCCAAAATTTAGATCTGGTCACACTGTACCTAGCAAAAAGAAAAGATCCAACTTTGCAAAACTACGTCTCAGTGCTCACAACCTCAGGATTGAAACAGGTAGATACGGGAAGAATCCTATTCTTAGGATTGATAGAAAATGTCCGTATTGTCAATCTTTTAATAAAACTGCTGTGAAGGATCAAATTCATT